TGCTAGAGCTCGATTAGATAAGCTAAGTATAGCCCGCGTTATAGAGGTCGTGTAAAATAGCTTTAGTGCGTTAGGAACGCAGTAAAGTTAATTTTTAGATAATTTGCTATAATAGCAGCTAGTATAGACTTTAATAGAAAATCCCTTTAGTAGGCAGCTGTTAGCTGTTATATATTCGGAGAATTCGAAGGCTGTATGGCCTGCTATATAGCTAGCTTTATAGCCTACTGCGTAGCTATCTGCGTAGCCGGCTGCACGGCCTACTATATAGCCTACTGCGTAGCCGGCTGTATAGCCGTATATATAGCCGTCTACTTAGCCGGCTGCTTAGCCGGCTGCTTAGCTGTATATATAGCCGTATATATAGCTATTTACTTAGCCGGCTGCTATAGTATTAAGTTTATTAGATTTAAATCGGCTTTATAAAATTTAATAAAATTCTGTCCGTTTTATTACTTAATACAGGCCTAAACAACTTCTTATCCGTATTATAAATTATATAAATAGTTTTTTTTATTATACTAAAACACCCCTTTTTTATTAAGCTTACTAAGGAAAACCACGCCGCAGTAGAATCCTAGAATATACGCGGCCCCTAATAGTAGGGTAAAATAGCTACTATTAGGGCCTTATAGCGAAATTTTAGCTATTCTATAGCTAGCAATTAATACTATTAAGCTGCCGGCGTAGTAAGTATTATTTAATAGTATTAGATTGCTAATAAACTAGCTTTAGTAGTTAAAAATATATATAGTTACTATATAGTTAAAAAGCACGCTATTGCGTAGGCTATAGGTAGATAAATAGAATACTCTGTACGGAATAATAGCAATTATAAAGTAAGAAACTAATCTAGTATTAGGCCCTCCGGCCTTAGCTATTTCCTGCAGCTTTTAAACTATCGCTGTCACGATAGCGCTACACGCGAGAGGTCGAGGGCTCAAAGAGGAGCGTTGATTAGGTGCTATGTACAATGCTACGTGGAGAATCAAGACGTTGTGTAAGGAACAGGAAGACGGGAGACGGGCCACCGGATATAAGGGCGTGGCCGAGCGCGTGGCGTACGGCCTCTATGCCGTTTCGGCGCGTGGCACGCGTGTACGCGAGGTCCTTACCAGATTAGGTGATAGGAAAAGGGGGCAGCCGGTAGGTGGCTGGAGCGGGACAGGATAGGAAGCGGAAGCGAGACGGGAGCGGAGCAGGGCAGGCAGAGCAGGAGGCCGGCCAACGGTAGTAGGCCGGTGCAGATTGCTGGAGTTGTAGCAATCTGCGGCAGAATTTCGGTAGGTAGGGTGTCGCGGTCGATACCGTGACAATCGCCTGCTATTTTTCGGGTTAATTTTTAAGGTTTTCCTTAAGCTTAGCTACTATAGCTAAGTTGCTTTTCTATTTATTTAGCTATTTATTCTTATAAATATATAGGTAATTTCGGAAAAAGTAGTATTTTTTATAGATATATTTTAGAAGCTTATTTTTAGCTTTAGAGGCTATTATAAAGGCCGTTATAGCGGCTGGCGTAGATGCTATTATAGCGGCCTATATAGCTGCCGGCGTATTTAGTAGCTTTAATTCTATACTATTAAGTATTATTATAAATATAGAATAGCTAGTAATTTTACCTATAATAGCTAGAGCCTCCCGTTTTTAGTTATAGAATAAATTAACTAGTTCCTAAAGTAGTGGAGTATTCTTAGCCCTAGCTATACGGCGGTGTATTTTATTACGCCAGTATATTAAAAATTCGGGATTTTTTAGCTAAATAAAGAGCAGGAAGTTAAGTTATAAACAATTATCGGCGGCTTTAGGTAGTTAATATTCTTCGTATTTTCTATAGAGAACTGTCTATTCCTATAGCTATTATTTAATATTTAAATCTTTTAGAAACTTTTACTACTGCTGCTATAGCGTGCGGAGTTTATAGCAGCGTAGCTAATTAAATAAAGCTACCTAATTCTTAAGGCTAATTAGTATTTTATATATAGTTTTAGCCTTATTAATAAATAGTATATAGTATAATACAACCGTTTTAATAATATAGACTTAGAGTTTATTAATAGTATTAATTTTAGCGTTATAGTAATCTTCCTTTTTTTTAGTATCCTTTTAGGCTTGTTTCTAATCTAATTTAGCCGCCGGGGTCTATATTTCCGCGCTGCTTACTGCTGCCGGTAGTATAGGCCGGCTAGGCTTATTTAGTTTTATAGAATTATTAGAAAATAGCTTATTAGGGTTAATATATTCCTATATATTGCCGGAGTAGGCCTTTATTTTAACGGTAAAAAACTAGTGCTTTTAGTTAGCAGGGAAAAATAGAATAATCCTTTTAATAAAAGTGGAAATAAATAGTATATTAGTAAAAAAACACGGGCTATTATATAGTTAATTCGGCTATAGCGTTTTTATAGCATTATAACTAACTTAATACTAAAAAGGTTTAAAAAGCAATAATAATAATAATAGGGCAGGAAGAAAAGCAGATCCTAATAAATAACTAGGCTTATAATACTTAGGTTATAAATTAATATAAACTTTATTTTATTTTAGGGGCCTAAAGGCTAAACTATATACTATATAGAAAGTAACTATATACGTAGGTAGAAGCACTAATTAGAGATAGTAGTAGGTATAGTAGGTATAGTAGGCTACTATACTCTAACCCCTCTCTATAAAAGTTGTAACTAGCTAGGTATATAGGCAGCTACTATACTAGTAATTTTAAGTAATTCTACCCTTTTAATAAAGGGCCTTTTATTATTATAGTAGAGGTATTAAGGTTATAGTTATATTATACGTCGCGTTTTTAGAAAATTTAATAGAGTAGGCTATATACTATTCTAGGCTATATACTATCCGGCTATATTAATAGACCTAAATCTTTTTTACTAAATAAAAAGTTTATTAAGGAATTACCTTTAAGGAAATAGATAATCTAAGATTTAGTTACTAAAAGTAAGCGCTAAGTAGTAATTTTATTAAAGTAGAGTAAAGTAGATTTAGAAATCGCTCTACTCTACTTTAGTAGAAAGCTTATAAAGCTTTAAAAGCTCTAGAAGCTCTATATTACCTATAGTAGTTTAGCGTAAAGTAGTTTTAGTATTAAGGTTAAACTTACTATAGCCGTATATAATATACAGCGCGTTGTGCAGCCCGTTATATAGCCTATCTATTTTCCTTATTTTTATTCTTATCTAAATCTAAGTTTATTACGCTATCTATAACTGCCTTTTTAGCAGCTTTATAGCGCTGCTGTTTTGCTAATAGGTTGTTATTAATATAATAGGCCTCCTCTACTGCTAGTAAAGCTGCCAGCCGTGTATCTACCTGCTCGCGAAGGGTTATATATTATATTAATATACTAGGCGCGCTATAGGTATATATAAGCTTAGGGTTATAGTAAACCTTTTTAGTAGGTATAAATAAATAGCGTAGACACTTATTAGCCTTAATAATATCTATTCTAAGGCGCCGGCAACGCTTATTAAGCAGAATCCGCAGAATAAGGTCTACTACTATATTATTTAACTCCGCGTTATCCGCTATAAAATAACTAACGCGTTTTTAAAAGCTATAGTTTTAAATAACTACTAGTTAGCTCTAGGCTATATTTTTACTACTATAGTTACTAAGGACCTTATAAAGCGCTAGAACTACTATATATTACCTGCCGGCCTTACTAATAAAGTAGCTATATACTTTAAGTATAGTATAACTATTTAGTAATATCTAAAGATTAAAAAAAAGTAAAATTATACTATAGGCGCACCTTAGCTCTGCTCTAAGCTTATTTTTCTACTTTTACTAGGCGTTAGTTACCTACTTTTAAACTATTAAAGCTGCCTTTAGTAGATACTTATTAAGGCCTAGATATAGGAACTCTAATACTATATAGAAGTAGATATTTTTAAACTAGAAAAATATAATATAACAGTAGATAATCTACTATATAAGCAGTTGCTTAAAGCTTTTAAATATTACCCTTATACTAAGCAACCGCTGCTTACTATACTTATATAGTTTAGGCTAATTTAAGGCCGTAGGTGCGGCCGTATATAGCAGGCCCGTATTTTTATCTATCCGGTGCACCCTAATAAGGTAATCTATAGCAGTAGACCTGCCTAATAAAATAACTAAAAGCTTCTGCTATCTATTTCTATACTTATATAAATAGTAGTAGTAGATATCTGCGCTTCTAATTATCCTCTCCTTAAGTTAAATATCTTTACCCTACTTCTAGCAGTGCAATATACGCGTTTAAGCAGCCCTTAATAGAGTTATAAAGTTCTTATATTATATATATATCTTGCTAGCAATCCGGAACTTGCCCACCTCTATAGCCTTCTTATAACATGGATTAATAGACTTTAGGGCAAGAATAGGCTGCGCCGGAGGGTCCTTGCGGCCTATAACACTAAGGGCGTAAGCGATCGAGCAAAGAGGGCGTGCAGGGTTATTAGGCGTAGGCGCGGCGTTGGCTATAGTGGAATAGGAGTGCGAATAGCTTCAAAAACGCGTGCAGGAACGCGTGCGACAGGCAGGATAACTTTTTAGGGGATTAGGTCACAGAATACGTGCTAGCTCACTAAAAACAGGACCGAATCCCCTGTCCTCTAGTCTAGCTAGTCTAGCTAGGCTAGGCTGCATGCCGGATGAGCAAAACGGGCAGGCTGCACGGGCTGCACGGGCCGCTGAACTTCAACACCACGAAATCTATCACGAGATTTTGAAAATCAATTGGAGCTCCTGGAGCTCCACGGCTTCGGCTCCACTCCATCCAGGAGCGATTTGAAGCCGGCTCCACTCCAGACTGTAGGGCGCTCCACTCCAGCAGCCTCCACTCCAGTCCAGTCCAACAAGATCACTGGCGCCAAGGATCCGGACAATCCCTTTCGATGTTCCGTAATATCTTACAAATTTCCAGGATTGACCACTCCCAAAGGTGAAGCGCCTTCTGAAGAGCTTGAACTAGACGACTGAACATTGGGTGTCCTAGACGTATCCAATCATCGATGTGCTCGATGAGTTCCGAATACGCGTATAACCTTTCTATTGCTAGATATATGGAACGCAAGCGAAGCGTCTCCAGATTCTGGGCCGCGGGCGCTGTTCTCTCCTCCCATATACAGGGCTTCAGGGTAGACGGACGGTATAACTTGACGCTCCAGGTGAACATGGACAGGACCTCCGTTGGCATCCATAAAGTGCCTCCAGCCAGGTCGTAGGTCCTCGTCCTTCTTGGATTGGCTGGCAGCCTCCTGCTGGACGGCTATTCGTAATTTCTTCACCCGCACTTAGGTATTGTATACTGCCATGGCGAGTCTTCTGTCTTTTCCATTGAGCGGAGTGTAGCCAGGGTTACGTTTGTAAGTAAGCCACTTCATCTTTGCAAGTTCGTGCGCTTCCTCAGCTGCATAAAAACCTTTCTCAGTTTCGTTCGGTCTCGTCCCAGTGCTCGCTGGAGGTGGCATCGTATCTCCGACCCCGTAATCCCTTGATAGTGGGGCAATGTCAGGGAGAAACTGCCCAACTGCAACCGCTTTGAGCTTCGCATAGGCCGCGCAGAAACGCACGACTTGTAAAACTTTCCTAGCTTCTTCTTTACTCGGCGCCAGGAACTCATCGGATGCGGCGTCAAACATCTTTGCGTTGGAGAACTCCCGAAGGAGAATCTTGGCGCCGGAAGGACCGAGATGATGAATTCATATTGCCCTTGGATTGACGCTTCCATGAATGATTCGCTGCTTGGTAAGAACTTCCAGAGTGTAAACCAGTTCTCGAAACAAGTGACCTGCTGCGGCTGCGCGATCTTCTCCTGTTCGTGTGTTCGTGTCTCGAAGTTCATTCGTTCCATGTAGACATCGAGAGGTAAATAGGCGTCATGTGCACTTGACAAAAAGACCCTGTTACTGTCTATCTGGATTTCGCCAGTATACGCCAGGATCGAAGGTTGCTTCTATCGTGCGTCAGTGATTTGAGGTAGGATTATATGACGGAACACTTACTCCAATGCATCGGAGGAGACTCATTTCAAGTGTCTCGTCGTGGTCTTGGTTGAAAAAAATGCCGGCGTAAACCTCTCCAGTGAACAGATTCACGATCTTCATAGTAAGTGGGGATATTGGATTTTTGTCCAGGATATATCGCTTAAGTTGATACGTATTCACGTTAGGAATCTCGCGCATAGAGCGTTGATCGGCCGTCGGAGTGCCAATTGAGCCTTTTACCTGAAGCTTCTTGGCAAATAGGTCCACTGCTGCCGGAACCTCTGCGGTTTTCCAGAACAGTGAATCGCCTCCCGCACTATCCAGAGAAGGACCTTGATCTCCCCCACTCGAATCTGATTACAGCGCTCCGGATTCAGTAACACCGAAAAGTAGGCCTTGGGGGTTTTCAGATTGGAATATACGATAGGTATATACCATTGAGTCGGATGAACTGTTTGGACAGCGCCTGGACCATCCAGAGATTGTGTTTCTTGCTCGGGACGATGCGAAAAGCTATTTGTGGCATGACCTTGACACCCTGCTCGTTGTAGGGGAGCAGAAAGTCGTCCTCGTGATCTCTACCGAAAGTGCAGTCCCATATGTCTTGCCGATCCTGACAGAATATGATACACCCATTTGGATCGTATTCGGGATAAGTGTACGATGGATTTGACTTCATATAGTCTTCACCGTCCGACTCCTGGGGCTGAGGTATCATCCGCCATCCTTGTAGCGAATCGAGCCCCGCTGCGGAATGGTGGTTCATTCCAATCCCATCTGCCGAATCTCATCAGAATGTATCGTGCTTCTACATTGTCGATGCGGGTTGGGCCAACAGTATAAAAATATTTCGGGTTTCAACGTCTGCATGGTAAGTTCAATTGGTATATCAACCACCTCGACCACCAAACAATTTTTCACGCGTTTTATGATTATAAAAGACTATATAAGACAGCAGTTTCCACCATATGAGCACATGTGGAGCCACCAAGGCACTTATAGCGATAAGCGTGGTTCCTCTATCTACTAGAAGTTGAGTCTTTTGGCTGCGTGGTTTGCTGGAGGAACGTCCAGCGCTGATGTACATATACAACGTGACTTAAACTAAATCCAAGTGTCACCAAAGGCTTGTTAGACGTGCACAGACAAACCGATAAGAGTCGGGGTATATTGTGTGGTTTCATTAACCCGTTTCGTTGTAGTTAGGAATATTTATCGCGCCAAAGGATTAGGAAACTCGAAGTACTCAAATGCCCCGACAAGATCTCTCGACGAGAGAAGGTGACCTGCCTTACTCCTCCCTCACATACACCAAAATAGTTGCTCCTTCATCAGAGTTGGACTCACTATCCTTATCAACCACGACGAATACCATGTCCTGATTATCGAATCGGACCTCGTTGTCGTCGTCGTCCGTGATGGTCTCCCAGTCGCTTTCGTCGTCAGTCTCCCACCCCTCATCATCCTCTTCCGCGACAGCCGAATCCACCCAGAAGTCATCTGCCTGCCACGCTCCTTCTTTCACTTGTTTAGGCTCTGGCGCTTTGACTGTTCTCTGGGATGACGATGATGCTTCCTGCTCCACAATCTCTTGTTGGTGGCCTACTTGCGAATCGTCCACTGGATGAGGCTCCACTGGATCGCAAAAGGGCTCCACTGGGTAACGACGAGGCTCTACTGGGGTGCGACGAGGTTCTACTGGGGTGCGACGAAGTTTTGATGGGATGCGACGCTCGCGCGTTGATTTAAGCCAAGGACCAATTCGACTCAACGCCTGCTTTTGAAGCTGTTTTTTCAACATCTCGTCTACTACCGGGGTGACTGACTGCGAAGGTGTAGAATACGCTTCTTCATCAGCTGTGTCGGTGTTTGTAATATAAGACGCAAAGGGGTACTTCCGCAAGTTGAAGTCATACCAATGCTCCGGACGGTCGACGTTATCAGGAATCTTTGCTTCTTTGTTGAAGAAGTATCCTTCTAAATGGGCCTGGGTAACTTCGCGTAACTTTCCGTGCAATTGGAAATTTATATTCCTCGTGATCCTATCCAGTTCTGCCCATCGCAAAGAGGTCTTTTTGACAAGAATCATGGAGCGCCTCGAGTCTACGATCGAGAAGTCGGCTGCGTCTACTGTGCGTTCCGATGGCTCCGCCGGCGTTCCTACGACTTCCATTTCAAGCTCTTTCGCCAACTTGGGTAGGAGGTCTATGCTGATATAGTGTCCCTCCAGCTTTGGATCGCCTCTTACCTGCTGGAATGGAGGACGGAAACTAGACTCTTTGCACCGCTCGTAAGGACCTTTGTCAGCCATAGATAGAAGCTGGGTTCCATTGAACATGCTGCTGGGTACGTGGTACCACAGCTTGAATGTGTTGTTGAGCTCAAAGAAATTGCCGATCTTGCAGTTCAAGAGAGTTTTGAAGGCGTCCGCTAACTGTGAAGGCATGTTGCCCAAACTAGCTAGGTCTCTCGCCAATGCCCGAAGATCTTTACCAAGGCAAAAGTCCGGATTTTTCACCTTGTCAATGTAAGCCTTCGCCTTTGTCTGAAGAGTCTTACCCCACGTCGGCCAGATTTGCAGAATGAACCCGAAAAATGTCCCAAGATCCTTCATATCGACCAACACGTCTCCATCAGGACTATCTTTCGCATGCACTTTCCAGGACTTGACGACATCCAGAGTACGCCAGGGATCACTGCATTCCCCTTCGGCCACCCGAATCTGCCGAATGATTTCCTTGGCGGTCCAATCCCAGGTCAGTGTGCCAAAATCCCGAAATATCGCGTCTAGAATGGGGTATCCAAAGGAATAGTTTCCGTCTACGTCTTCAAGCGGTTGTCGGTATGCGTAGCTATCCTGTACTAAAACATTTTGGCAGTGCTCCGGCTTTTCGTCTGTTCTATTTTCCTCGAGGGCTGGATGTTCTGCGGATAGCTTGACTTTGCGAAGGTAATCAGCGACAGGAGGCATGGTCTCCGACACCTCATTGGTGACTTTGTTGTAGTATACTCGGCGATGGGAAGTGTTTAGTGGCATAGTCCACCCCCCTGCAATGTCCAAAGCGCGCTTCGTTGCCTCTTTCTGTACCTCTTTCTTGAATTTCACAACCCGCCTCTTAGCATTGTACACTGCTGTGCCAAGGACAGAGTCTATGTGGCTCAGCGGATCATACTCTTTGGCGAGTTTGTACTTGTTCCACTTATCTTCCGCCTCTTTCAGGTCGTCCTGGGCTTTTTTCAAATGCCATGCTGCGTCTGGATTCTCAGGAACACCAACGTATGGATGATCGCTACCCGAATATTCCGGTTCGCCGTCAGTTTTGCGCTTCTTAGCTGGCTGCTCGTCGTGCTTCCCCAAATTGGAGCGCTTGACTGGGCCTGGCTGGGACACAATGCCCTCGGTATGCTGAAAATGTGCGGCGACAAGAAGATCAGGATACATCATGATCAACCGCATAGCACGAACTGCCTCCTTGGTGTCCTTGAGACATGCCTTCTCGAACGCTTTATTTGCGGTTGAATGCTTCTTGACTTTTGACAAGCTGATCAAGAATACCTTAGCACCAGATACTGTTAAATGATGTATGGCGATGTGCTGTGGCAGTAACTCTCCCATGGTAATCCGCTTTGCGTGCAGCTTCTCCAAGGCGGTCATGATGGCTCGGCAAAAGTGATTAGCAGCAAGCGTTCTATCGTCTTTAGACCAGGTGTGAAAATCCATCATTTTGAGATACTCTGAGAGCTCTGCCCATCGCTCCGGGGTGTTCGTCAAGATCACTCGGAAGTTGCTAATGACGCACTCGTCGAGTATTTTGAGTATGGCAGGGTCGTCCTGATTCAAATTAGCATTCGCGTATTACTCTTTCTGGAATTACTGAACTTACCGGCATATCGAGTCTTGCCATGACCCTCAGATTTCGCTCGCACTTTGCGTTCTCTCCAGCTTTCTCCAAGTCGTAGAACTTGCCTAGTAACCTCTTGCCACTGAACGAATGAATGACTACCAGAAAGTCACCGAAACCGCCCTTCTCGAGTACGTAGCGCAGGTTGTCCTTCGCTTTAGGCTTAACATTAGTAACTGCCTGGTCCATGTTTTTTACAGCAACCGTAGGGTCAACCAAGGTCGCCGTCCCGTCGACGATCTCGAGTTTCTTCGCAAAGTACTCAGCCATGGTTGGAACATCTTCAAAAGACTTGTTCGCGGCTAGCTCAGCGTCGCGGACGGTCCAGATCTGAATCTCCAGCGCGTCTACTACGACCTCATTGGCCGCTTCCGGATGGAGGTATATCGAGCTGTGGAAATTTCCTTCGGTCTTTCCTTTCCCAGCTGCGATCAGCTTGACGCCGTTGACAGCTAGCGTAGTCTCTGCTAACGCTTGCAAAATCCAGATGTTCTTGGCCTTGTCGGGCAAGACCCTAAAGGCTTGCTTGGGCATGTTGAGATAACCTTCTGACGGGCCAGGCAGCTTCACATCCAAGCAGTGCCCTTTCGCTGGCCTACCGGAGGCCTGCCGGCCAAAGACGTAATGAGAGTGATCGTTCCGGTGATGCAAGTAGATCACACCTGCTTCGTCTGATGAGTTGAGAACTGGATGCATATACAGATCTACTCAGGTTGTCACTACTAGCGTGTCAGTGGCGTTACATCCTTCCATATCCGTAACAAGGGGGAACAGGGGAGTACCCCCCCCCCCCCCCCCCTTTGATAGGTTATATATACGGGCCTTATGCCTCTTCAAATCAACACAGAACTGCTTCTTCACAACCTGAGTGTTATGAGCCCGGAAAACTTACACGGATCATCGCCTGCATCACCAATCAACGCAATCAGCATTCGATAGACTCTCGATCCACAATCCTCCATAACCAATCTTGTTATTCTTCCATCACGTCTTCCACAATGCCGACAGAAAACGTCATCTTATCATCACCAGCCGTATGGGAATCCTGGATTCAAATTATCCAGGCAAAGGCCGAACGAAAGGGAATATGGGGCATCATCGATCCATCAACAGATGCGAACGCCGATGAACAACTTCCAAAACCTACGAAGCCTGCGCCCCCGGAAGCTGATGAAAATACGTTCGCCGCGCAAATGACCTGGAAGATGGCATACGATGAATACAAGGACAACAAGGTCCTATTCGACAAGCAAAAGGAATCACTGCAGGACATACGCATTTTTATCCTACAAACCGTGGATGCCAAATACACCACGTAGACCTACGGCATCTCAGCAGCACGCGATCTACTTGCCAAACTCGAGAAATCCATTGCGCCATCGGATGAAGCACGCCGGCACGAAATCTACAACCTATGGCAGAAGCAGAAGCACCACCCCACGGAACGAACCATAGAGAAATGGCTAATGGACTGGGAAACGTTTTACAGTGATGCATCAAGACTACAGCTGCCTGAGGCCATCGGCAACCGTGCCCAAATTGACTTTCTACTGTCCCTAATGGGAAAACATCCAGAATTTGCAGGCTACTGGCGCCAGGAGATTGCACGCCGAACGGATGCTAAGGAATCAGCACCTAGCCTAGCGGATCTAGTCAGCAAGTTCCGAATACAGCGACACGAGAAACTAGCATCCCAGGGCAAGGATCCCCACTCGGCCTACGCCACTACGTTGCAGGGCCAGGAAATCAAACCAAAAGAACAAGCCGATTCCCCTAAAACCCTGACGCCCTGCCTATGCGGAGAAACCCATCTGTGGCGTAACTGCCCGTATATCTGTGCTGACAAACGTCCTACTGGCTGGCAGATGGATGCAGGAATTCAGGAAAAAGTGAAAAAAGCGCTTGAGCAACAGTATCCAACAAACCAGGAGCGGATTCGAAAGATGCAGGAGGAATTTAGGGGCCCTACTCCTGGGGCTATCTCTGCATTTGCAGTTGCATTCTCAGCACCAGATCGTTCCTCTACTCCACCAGCTTTGTTCTCAACGGCCCCACCGTATCAGCTACGGAATTCCGTTATCCTAGATTCAAGTGCTACAACGCACGTGTTCAATACTGCGCATTGGTTTACGGGCAACATTGAACAAACAAACATTGCCTGCTACACAGGAAAGGGTGTAGAATCTATCACGGGATTCGGGACAGCAAAAATCTCACTAGAAAGTTCAAATAGCATACACTACGCCATGCTTTCCGATTCCGCCTATATCCCAGGGTTCAACGTGAACATTGTTTCCCTCCGGAAACTGAACGCCAAAGGGGTGTTCTGGAACAACGAACGGAATTTCCTATACAGCCTAGACTACGGCAGGGAAGTTATCTGGGCAAAACTCCTAGAGAAAGCTGGACAAAACGTTATCCAATTTATTGAGCCAGAGAACATCCAAACGGAAAATGACATCTCTGCATACATCACGCAGCCACGCATCGCACGCCCACCAGCACGAGGGGCATACTCCGCACGGCCTGTGGAACTCCAGCCATCAGTAACAGCCCTAGGGCTACTATGGCATCTTCGGCTAGGCCATGCACGCCCAAAAGCTGTACAAAAGTTAACAGCAGCTGTTCTCCCAGATGCACAAGGGGACGTTCAATTGCTAGGCCCGGCAATACACGAATGCGAACAATGCGCCGTTAGCAAAATCACACAGCAAATTTCACGTGTCTCTCCTATGCGGCATGCTACACGGCCGTTCGAACGGCTGCATTTCGATATGATATTTGAAGAACCCGGCTTCAACGACAATACCAAGTGTCTACATCTCTGGTGCGAATCCACGAAATATCACGTGACCAGGAACATCAACACGCCGAGCGAACTGCCCCAGGCCCTAATGGAAGAAGTAGCTAAGCTGGAAACTCAATTCCCTGGCGTTACTGTTCGATTCCTGAAGACTGATGGCGAACGCACCCTAGGCAGCCGTGAAGATCATCCATTTCGTGTCTGGATACGTGAACGTGGCATCGTCCTAGAACAATCAACGCCAGGAAACTATATGCAGAATGGTGGCGCAGAACGTGCAGGTGGAATCCTTATTCTCAAAGCCCGTTGCCTGCGTGCGCAGTGCAACCTACCTGGAAATCTCTGGCCATTCCTATATAATACAGCTGCCTACCTACTTAACAGGACGCCTACGGAATCCATCGGATGGAAAACCCCCTGGATTGCTATACAGGAAAGCTTGGGAATCACGCCGGTTGACCCAAGCATTGCCCATCTACGGGTATTCGGCTGCCGTGCCTATACGTTGAAAAAGCGCCTACCCAAGGTGCCGAAGACTACGCCCCGTGCACACATAGGCTGCCTAGTGGGCTACGAATCATCAAACATCTATCTCATCTGGGTCCCTAGCCTAGAGAAGGCCGTACGAACACGGGATGTTATATTTGATGAAGAAAAATTCTACAACCTAGGATCAACAACTCATATGCTAGAAAGCTACTCCGAACATCAGCTGTAGAGAACACAGCTGAGATCTCAGCTGTGGAGAGCCCAGCTGAAAACTCAGCTGTGCAGTGTTCAGCTGAACTTACTAGCGCGCCACCCAGGGGGTGGCCCCCCTTCCTTCCCCTAGTATATATACAACTAGCTAGACGTCTATAGAAATCAGAGTTCACATCAATTTAACCTGAGTGAGATAGACCTCGCAGACGAATTGCAGGTGCCCATCGAACAGCTTGTACGAACGCTGGAATACGATGAACAGGAACAGGAACAACAACGAGAGCCACGCGTATACAGCGTTGACGGTGACAGTGACGACGAATTACTAGATACCATCATCGTACGTCCGCGGCAACAGCCTCAACAGCTATCAACCGAATCAGACAGCGAACATTCGCCCGCGGAAACCGCAGCTGGCCTGCCTACACCTACGAACACGCTGTCACCAAGATCTAGATCCCCCGCACAATCAGCTACGCCATCATCCCGATCGGTCTCTGCATCCTCGGGGGTGGACAGGAATAGCGGATCTACATCACCTACGGCCACTACGGCCACTACGGCCACTACGGCCACTACGGCATTAGCTGAGACCACGGCATCAGCTGCTACTACGGCATCAGCTGCTACCACGGCATCAGCGGCTACTACGGCATCTACAGTGCCTATAGATTCGTCCTCTCGTCCTGTACGAGACAAGAAACCCGCCAAGCCCCGTGCAGCCCTGCACTCGTCCATCGCCGAACGCGATGCGTACGACGATGCCCTGCCGGGCCTACACTCCGCCTTTGCTGCGGCCCTTGCACTACAAGCAACGTATACGGCAGGCCCTACTACTGCACCAGCAGGCCCTCACAGAGACTCTCTCCAGGAAGCACCAAGGCACTGGAAACAACTACAAAACCACCCCGAACGGGACGGGTTTATAGCGGCAGCAAAACGCGAACTAGATGACCTAGTGAGCCGTGGAACGTTCACTACTGTAGAACAGTCCAAGATTCGAAGCCCTATACAATCCCTGTTACGTGGGTATTCACGTACAAATTCGATGAGAACGGACATCTACTACGTCACAAAGCACGCCTCTGCGTACGCGGGGATCTACAAAAGGCAACAGAAGAAGATACATACGCAGCAACACTAGCTGGGCGAACGTTCCGTGCCTGTGCTGCCCTCATTGCAGCAGCAGATCTCAACACCTGGCAGGCAGACGCCGTATCGGCATTCACAAACCCGGAGCTCGATGAACTAGTGTACATCAGGTACCCGGATGGATTTGAACGTCCCGGATATGTGCTGAAGGTTAACAAAGGCCTATACGGCCTACGTCGTTCCCCCTTGCTCTGGTTGAACGATCAATCCAAAACACTACGAGAACTAGGCCTCAAGGAAGTGCCAGGAATTCCATGTCTATTCATCAGCCCTTATCTCATCGTGTTCTTCTATGTGGACGATCTCATTGCGTGCTGCATGCCGCAATACAACCATCACCTAACAGCGTTCAAACACGCGATTATGGCCAGATACGAGATGAAGGATATGGGCGAGGCCAGCTGGTTCCTAGGAATTCGAATACTCCGTGATCGACCCACACGACGGCTGTGGCTGTGTCAGGATTCGTACCTTGACAAAATTGCGGGAAAATTCCATCAGAAAGATGCACTACGGGTTCACACGCCCTTAGCCATCGACAACCTCATTCCATACGAACAGGAAGCTGGCGCCATCTCAATACATGGATATCAACAAAAAATCGGATCCCTGCTATACGCAGCCATCAACACGCGCCCAGACATTGCACGTACATGTTCTAGGCTGGCAGAATTTAGCCGGAATCCATCGGCAGGCCACCACCATGCTGCTGATAGGGCTATTGCATACCTATACCAAACGCGTGGCTACGCTCTCTGCTACGATGGCAGCACCGTTGATACGGATCAAATGCTCGTTAGGGCTAGTGATGCCAGCTTCGCCGACGATTCCATCACACGCCGTAGTTCACAGGGCTACATCCTAAAACTGTTTGGGGGCCCTGTAGATTGGAAAGCAACAAAACAAAACCATATTACAAAATCATCCACGGATGCCGAGCTCACTGCTGTTTCCAATGCCGTGTCGGAATTCATGTGGTGGCAACGATTGTTCACGTCACTGGACCTTGTTCTCGAGGGAAACAAGGTGATAACTGTCCTATGCGATAACCAACAAACAATTCGACTACTCAGCAAAACGGGCGGGCATTTGAATACGTCGCTAAAGCACGTAGACATCCACAATCACTGGCTTCGTCAGGAAGTACAAGCCGGCCACGTACGAATTGATTGGGTGGCATCCGAACATATGCTTGCAGATGGGCTTACGAAGGCCCTCCCTCGACAGAAACACGAGCTGTTCATTCAACAGCTAAATCTACAGGACGTCACTAGCAGGATCTAGGAATTAGACGTTAGGGATTCAGCATCATTCGTTGCTGGGGGGTGACTCGGGTTGCAGCACTACAACCTAGGGTCAGCAACTCATATGCAGTAACATATCAGGATAGCATGCTGATACAGGAGGAAGTAACAGGTAGTGCAACAGCAGTGCTGCAGCACGGTATCAGTACTGTATCAGGAAACAGGATGAATCAAGTAACGCGTCAGGAAGAGATACCACGTTATGCCCCCGGGGCTGGCCCCCCTCCTTCCCCTAGTATATAAACAACGAGCTAGACACCCATAGAAATCAGAGTTCACATCAATTTCAACCTGAGTGATCTCCGACAGGGTTTGCCAGAGTCTTTCCAGTCGGTTTTCTATTCACCCCTTGATCTAACCCAGACTTTAGCGAAGGGTCGTACTCAAGTCGGGTGACATGGAATCCTTGTTTCTGGTTTATTTTGGCAGCATTCTTGTTATTTATCCGAACAATAACGTTAGTAGGGCCGTACAGCGCTGAAGACCCCGAGGGTTGACCAGGATCAGTCGCCATGGCGCTATGGTGACAGGCCACTGATTTAAGGATTAGCGAATTGTGCAAGAATTAAGTAAAATTTTAGGGTGAAGAGATAAGGTAGATTGTAGCAGAGGAAGGGTGGGGTGGTGGTGAAGTTCGAATTGACGATGAAGAATATTTGGCGGGGAAGGCCTACTTACTCTTTTAAAACCAGTGAATTTATTGAATGGCAGGATGAGGACTTGCTGAAATGGCGTGGGGTGTTGGTGGACTTTTGGTATTAGTGGTGGATCGGAAGGTGGGAATAAAGGCTTTGGTGGTCAGGACGTATTTATACGCTGTCTCATAAAATTTCCGTAGACTGAGGTTATTTCTATAGGGGGAAGCCGTCCCCAGCCGAGTAACTTCAAGTCTCCACGACATTGAATGGCGTCTCGTGAGACGATTCTGCGGAGCCCCCATTTCTGCAACTCCACGACCCTGTCTTTGCGTTCTCAGCTTAGCTTGGCGACCACAGGCTACAAAAAGGCTTCATACTGAGTCGAGGTTTTGCAAATATATGAGCGAATAACCGTTCTCCTTGTTGTCATCATCAACTTATCAAAGGTAATTCACTAGCGCGCCTTTTCGACCTGCTCCTTAGCTCCGATATCTTCACACTGCTATCCAACGGACACACACACCACCCCACGAGCAACAACCCGAAGTGATTACTTGAGTAGTTCCCCACTCCACCTTTTGCTCATATTCCCAACAAGCCGCGCTATAGATTTTGTTACTCCAAAAGCGGAACAACAATCCTTCCCCATATGATACAGCTTTTCATCTTATACGATCTTCGAAGCATGGCCGAAAACGAGATTATTCATTCATCGAGGATGGCACGACCCGACCATCCAACGAAAGTTGTTCGGTCAACCATTTACGATCGAGCTGTAGCGAAAGCTGCTCGGCCTCCTGTAGTCAAATCTCCTACGTCTGGCTCTTTTGCAGCCAAATGCCCCACATCTGGCCCTCATGTCGCCAACTCTCCTCCGTCTAGCACTTCCATGCGTAACTCAATTATGTCTAGTCCTCGCACGGCTAAATCTTCTGCGTCGACGCCCCCTTCAGCCACACCTCCTCAAGGATGCGATCACCATGGGAGACCGACTTCCCCGCCAAAACAGATCCCACGACCTCAATTGACCCTGGCTCAATACCTGGGACATGAGACACCTCCAGACAGTCTTGATAGCAATGCTAGCGAGACTTCCTATGTCACCTACAAACCAACTACGGAGGAAAGGGTGGCCAGAATGAACAGCGACGAACAACGTGAGTTCCACATGACGCTATGGGGATTTTACCCACCTTTTTATCGGGTGGAAGACTTGCGGGTCCCACGTTTTTCAATGCAGCGAATGAATAACTTCTGACGACGTACCAGATTACCAGAGCAACGAGCGAGCCGTTCGACCATGACATCGGCGCCACCCAGCTTTACCACTCGGGATACAAAGAGAGGATCATCGGAGATCGATGAAACTGTAGACATGTCGTACTTCGACACGGAGGCGGCTCTAAATGCGTGGACAGAACACGTATTCGCGATCGATCAACGAAAAGTGGAACTCAACTCAAACGTGCTTTTACAGATCGAGGGCTACCGGGACCATAAACAGGCGAAAAGGCCTCGATACGAGGCACCCATTTTCGCGTCTCGCGGAGCAAACATTCCCGCTGCTAAAGAGTCACCAGTGGATAGCAAAGCTGGAATGAGTTTCTCGAAGGCTTGTGGCAGCCAACGGAGCGGAAGTCAACGGAGCGGAAGTTAAGGAAAGAAAGACTCGCGAACCTAAGCTCGTTCACTTTGAGCAGCTGGCGAAGACAGGTGGTAGCAACTTCAAATGTCTCAAGAACGTAAACATCGGCGATGCGGAAGTTCCATGTGTGAAGAGTCGCAAGCGAAAGCTTGTTGACGTTGAAGAGCCACCGACAACAGAAGAAAGCTCCCTAAGACCCTCAAAGAAGGCCAAAGTCAGGGCTGTCGATGATAGGTACGGGAACGACCTTTGTGTTCAAGATCCTCTCGTGATGGGACTTTTAAGAGGTGATGTGGCTGATCACGGCTGTTTTGGGATGTCACATTAGGAGTAAAGTGGGGTTTGATTACGATCCACTCGGATTGAATTTGGAGGGGGAAGGGAAGGGAGATCTTTTCAACAAAGATCCTTCAGGGATGGGATTTGGAAACTCGAAAGGGGACACTGGCATGGATGCGGGTTGGTTAAAGAAAGATGGAGTTCCTTTAATTGATTTTATTGGGTTACGGAGGAGGATTGCACAACCACGCAGGCTCGGGACACATAAGAGGGGGTACGACTGAAATGATGGCGTGGATACAGTTGTCAAGATATAAGTGTCCCTTTTAAGCGCTCCTTTTCTGCCATCTCTTGTTACAGTCGGTTGACAGAAGTCTATGTGCATAGCTTTGTAAGCAGGAAAATCAAAGTTCGACCCCGTTGCTCTCCAATACAAAGGAGGTGTTTCCTTGAAGTTCTATATCGAATTTCTTGGTGTTTATGATACATATACGCCTCCTGGAGCCTAATGCTTTGTCTGCCAGCCCTTCGCTTTCCGTACAGCCCCTCAACATCTTGGCATGCTCTTAATTAGGTTCCGGATTAATAAATTAGGTATCTTCAACCATGCCTCCTTTAATGCAGCTTTTAGAGCATCCCAGTCCTCTTCTAAGTTGCCTATTATAGTTAGCTCTGGGTGGAGCTTATGGACCATCTTCTTAAGAGCCAACCACATGTGCTTAATAGGGTTAAGATCCGGTAAATAAGGCGGCTATTCAAGCGTCCAAATACTATAGGTTTTAAGCCAGTTCTTAGTATATTTAGAGTTATATATTGGCGTATTATCTTAAATAAAGATATGCCCAGGTAAGTACTAAGGGAGGAGTCCTTCTTTAAGAGTCTTAGTATAGCTTCTTCCTAAATACCCTATCTTCTTAGATGCAAAGTCCCTCTCTATAATAATTAAAGGGGAGCGTTCTACTCTTCCCTTTAGAGTGACCTAAATAGCCCCCTATACCATCTGTAATATCTTCTTGCCCTTCTCTTTCTCTATAATTATCTTAGGGTTATATTTCTCGCCAGGAAATCAAAAGCACTATTCGGCTTGCTGGCCTGAGCCCTGTTAAACTGAGCACTTGTCTGTAAACTTAACAACCCGTCGCTTCTATTAGAAATTCTAATGCTCTCTTGCAAATTAGCGCTGTAAAGCTATATAATCTGCCTTTAATTTAGGCCTCTAGGCACAACGGTGGTTCCTAAGGCCTTATTTCTGGAGCTCCCGTGCAATGGTCCTTATTAAAGGGGGTTGGTTGCAGTTTTAGAGCCCGGCATCTTTAAGCATCTATACTTAATTTTAGGGGATTTTATGCAATTTAATATAGCAATTATTTCTCGCAATATAATAGTACCTCTGGAAAACCATCTCGAGGTAGGGTGTATATAGTATTGTGGGTTTCCCACCGCTTAAATGTCTTGGTGATTGTGTTCCGGTGAACGCCAAATTCAGCCTCCAATTCCTTGACAGAAACACCAGCCTCCCGCTTTGAGATAATAGCGCTGCGAGCCTCAGGCGACAGCTCTTGATTCCTGCCTCGATTTCCTGCGATTTCTGTGCCAAACGAGCGGCGCATGGTTGTGCTGTTGGTGTTCGAACATCGTGAGTTGATGCGCGTCGCGTAGTTCCCGAGCTCGTGCACACAGACTTTTGGCTTAGTACTGTATATGACAAATTTCAAGGGCGGCACCAACAGGGCTACTTCTTTTTTTCGTTAGGTTTTTCCGGGGCTTAAACAGTAGCGAGCTTACTATGCGAGTTCAGATTTCTATCTGTCTTCTTTTGTGAGAGTCTTCTCCTAACTTGCCTCTTCTTAAAGGCCCTGACAAGAGACAACCTTATTCATCTACTATAATGCCTCCTGAACCTAGACCCTATCTCCCAGCGAACGTGGATGCATTGAAGCTAGCATTTGCAGAACAACTTACCTGAAAATCTTTCTCGCCTTCATCCATAGCCTCTGGGACCAAATCTTGATACATATATTCATTGTTCAGCTCATTTACGTCAACGTTCAAGCAAGTGAGATTGAGGCGCAATGCCCCTGTCTAGCACATTCTAACAGGCAGAAAATTACCTTATTCTATCATACACTAGTCAGGGCAAATCTTAAGGGGATTAGAAATTGGGGAGTATATCACAGTGATATCTGCGACGCTGATTATGGTCCTGTATATTTCCATCAACTACAAAATATGTATTCTTTGTCTTCAACATCTACTATCGCCATTTTCAGCTTCTTACCTAAGCTCGATACTAAAAGAGACTAAGGGCTTGGGGAGAAAGATAGGGTGTTTGCGGTTTTCTTGTTTTTTTACGAAGTACTGAAGCTGCTTTCATTTGATTAGGAGTTAGGGGTCGCATTTGGTTGATTTTCATGAACTCAGCGTGTCTATACTATATACATTCAGACTTACATCACTAATCCTCTTTACGTTGTGCGAAGTTTTCTATTTGTCTGAATCTGAATCGAGACGGGCCCCTGGCACGTGCCCGCACCCGCTAGCTGGGAACAACCGAGACGCCGGCACATGTTAGCCGAAACCTTATTTGAACTTGAGACCAAAGGGTTCCCTACTAAACACCACCGAATGTGCCCGCGGAAAGCGCATTCAATTACTGCTATCTGGGTTACAAAAATGGACGGGAAAAGCACACTTCTGACTTACAAGATCTGATTATTTGTGTGGACTCTGATCTGGGATGAGGTGACCGGGCCACTTCGAAGGGTGTCGCTAGGCTGGATAGCGCGTTCAAAAGCCCTGCGACTGATTGAAGAGCAGCAGACTTGTACAAATTCTACATTTGCTGGTGAGCTCTTGCGTCCACTTCAGACCACGGTACGTACCCCACGGCCGATACAAACAATCTAATCCTCTGATATTGTGTAGACTTCTCGTAGTCTTCTACTTGCTCCAGTTCGGACTATGAGGAGAGTCTGGCGAGTATGAGTTCTAGGTAGGTCCTGATTCTGTGGCCTTTTGGGAACGCTTTGCGGCATTAAGAAGCAGCATCTGCAGTCAGTCACTTCGGAATAAGTGTCATGGGATCACGCAAAGTTGAAGTTCAGGTACCCAAGTTAGATAAACGTAAAGTCTGCCGCCCCAAATACTGCCTCACGTTTCTAGCACTCTTCCGAGGTCACATGTTTATCTGAAGGGTCATAGATGTGTCACAGATGTTTCAGAGTGTACTATGCATTGACGCGATATGAAGGGATGCAGTCGAACAGAATCACGTGAATCTGATACTGGTGGGGAATGAATATAGTGATAGACTGCAATGAGGCCGTGAACGTTTTCGAGCACGTATCTACCCTTATAGCCCCGATCTAGCCTCAACCAAATCGCGACCTCTCGAAGGACTTCTTGCTAGAAGTCGATACAATGCCGCACAAGCCCATTCACACCCCTATCACCACAATAATATCCTACTGCCGTCTAAGAAACGCCTCTTTCCTATCATCGCATAGATCATTCATGAAGCTCAGCCTCGCTTCGGCAAAGTCCTCCCGGGACGGGTCCCCCTTGCGCTGTTTCCGCGTTTCAGAGCACTCAACGACCTAGCTTACGTAGCGCAAGCGTCTTTGCGGCTCGTGGAAGCGGTGCACGTATTGGGGCCCTGCCAGCGATGCGCGCCTTACGAGCCTTCTTCTTCGTGGGAGGCTTGCAAGCCTCCGTGTCTTTTGCATCGGCTGAAACTTCTGCCACAATTCCAGTTTGTTCAAGCCCCACCACCGTTGTCATCGCTGCTCCGTATGCAGCGGGTGTTTCAACTCTATCCTCAATGATAGCCTCCTGCTCTAAGTCTTCTTGAGACTCTAGTGCTAGTGTTGGAAACGCTAGACCCACTTGTGCAGCCAGTACCTCTGGTGCAGCTTCCTCTTGTTCGGAAAAATCGGTTTAGGTTCTAGCGTCAACGCGTGGCGGAGTTGCGGTCTGCACTTCAGCGTCGGCGTATGTTGGTTGCAGCTGGTACCGCTGGGGCAAATGGTGGCAGCTGCGCCGTTCGGAGTTTTGGGATATCTGTAGTCTGTGCTTCAGCGTCGGCGTATGTTGATGATGTAGCTCGTGCTGATGGTGTAGATGGTGACAGCTGTGCCACCTGTGTTGCCGCGCCCTCAACTTCATCATGCTCGGGAACATAATTGAGACCACTATCGGCGAGGGAAACGTCGCCCTTTGGCAAAGGCATCATTGCACAGAAGTCGGGCCCAATAGGTTCTTCGTTCTCAGAAAAGTACTCTTGGGTCGACGGAATCGAGGGATGGGGTCGGGGCACCATAGCACAGAAATCGGGACCAACAACTTCCTCATAGTCGGAAGTCTGTTCTCCTTGGGTTCCTGGAATTGAGTCTTGGGCCTTGAGTATGTGCATCATGTCACCGAAGCCTGGCCTAGCAACTTCCTCCTGCTCAGAAGCGGAATTCTCTGGAGTGCTTGACGTCGAACCCTGGCTATCATCGTCGCTTTGGCTTGGCGAAAGAAGTCGGAGCCTCTTAGCGTTCCGCAACGGTATTGCCTTAACATCCACGAACTCATGCTTCCTCTTTCTGTCTCAGTTCAAGTGCGCTTGGCGCAAGATCTCCGAAATACCTTGCCTGTAGATTGAACGGTCAAACTTGACGATACCCCGCCGCTCGGGTTGATGGCCGGAGAGATGCTGGGTCCCAAGTCTTCGCCTGGAGAATTTAAAACCTTCCTCGGCCCGATTTTCCGCACGGACCAATCCACTACTCCCACTGGACGCCTGTATTGACGCATCCATGCGTGGCAAAGTATACACTTATAAGCCTTCTCCACTCCCAGAAGTGGCCAAGCAGCGACAGGATGTTGCCAGCCATGGCAATCCTCCACCCTTGCATGGAGCTCCTGCTGTGCATCATTCGTCAGGGAGCACTACAAGTGTCCATGATGAGGACAAGAGCCCCTCAAGCAGTTACGAGAACCTCATATCCTCCGACGAGGATGAGCCAAACTACCCAACGCCCCCCTGCACTCCTTCGCAGTCCGAACAAGGCGACGAAATCACGCCGCCTCCTATTCCTCCGAAGCCAAAACCGACGAAGAAGAACTACAACGTGCCCAAGATGCCCAATATGCTAGAGTTAGATGATGGAGGCCATTGGCAGATTCCTGTTGGGGATGGGTTCCTCCACCGAAGCAAGAGGATAAACCCTACACTTCGGCCAGATTTGCAGAATCCCTGCCATACGACCCGTAGGAAGGCTAAGCTTCTTCGGAGAGCGGGGATTGAGGTCACTTTGGCAAAGCCGATGCACTGAGAGAATCGCGACTCCCGAATCCCGATCCATCAAAAATGTGTGTGTCTTTGCCGCTCACACACGTCCGTTCTTCCACTGATAGACCTCTGCGTTGGTCGCGTACCTTGTCTTTCCTTTGATACCGAAAAGGGATCAAAGATGTGACGAATACTCGCACGCTGGCGAGCTTCCACCGGGCGGACGTCGTTGGCATGATGCAATATTTCTACAAAGCGAAATAATCATCAAAGCTATCAGTCTAGCCCTATATCCTTCACAGAAAGAAGGCCCAGCATGGATCCTCAAACTCGGCGTCGGCCAAGCGCATTGCAAGGGGAGTGCGGAAAAGTCCACACAATGTTCCACCGACACCCATCACGGAGCAACCACGGGGTAATTTCCTACTTTCGCGCTTTGAAGTTTCATCGGCAGCATATGCCGCATCTGTGGCGGCGGAGTTTCAATGGTCGGGTTCGCCGATGGGTTCGCTTGGCCGCCAGAGCGTACTCTGGTCATGCTTTGTACAACTCCATTCGACTATTACATTATTTGTCACTGCTGGACGGTGGCAAGATTCATGTTTGATTACGGCTTATAAGCTTTGCTTATCAGCGAGCCAGGGCAGGTAATGCTACCCCTCTCTGTTCCTCCCTTATAGATCGCGTACTTATTTTTATTCCTGGCTCTATTCCGACCTTTTATCCGCACACCTTTTGCCGGACATTCCAACAGTTGAACGAATCCTATATGAACCACCGATCATAAAGATGCGTAGGGGGGGAGTATTTACTTGCCATTTATTAATCATACTAACACTATACACGGTAAGAGACCACATACGTCTCTTTTCGGAACGTCATAATACTTCACAGATTAAGCTACTTGCTCTATGAATCTCAGGCACTCGAAAGCCGTTTTAAGATCTTAAGGAACTAAGAGGAGTTGGGTACAAGTTTTAGAGGTAGGCGCATGGTACTATGCCGGATTTTCGGCAGGTTTCTTTCGGCATTTCATTGCTCTCTATTGATTGTTAGTTCGGTACTCTTAGATATTGGCTCAACTTTTGCTCAATTAATGCGATTTTGGTAGAGCTTATTCGTCATCTCGAGAGACTCACAACTGGTGCACGTGACAACATATGTGCCTGAAAGACTTACGACCAAAGAGCTGGGGTTTCGATTCGGCATCACGCGGTGTATACATTGATTTGCAGGTACGAAGCTGAAGCCTAAGGGCAACGTCGGCCCCGAAAGATCTTTCCACGGCATATGCACACGACAGGTTTCGCTTTGGAGACAGAAGATAATAAAGCGGCCAATAATGGAAATCGTGTGATCTTAAGGCTAACTCTCGCCCAGCGTGAGGAGTAAGCCAACCCTAACTGAACCGACGTGAGCAATCCGTTACAATCGGCCGTTTTGGTTGACATGGACGAGTTTAACCCGGACTGAACGAGTTGTAATCTATTAAATTAACCCCGCATACGCCTTTTGCGGCGTGTTTTATGACGCGTTTTGTGGCTTTTCACGCGTTGTATTGACTCCCCTACACCTCACGGATATCCCTTTTCTAGTCATAGAGTGAATAGAGGCGAGTGCCTAGTCCGTAAACGGGCTAAACCGGTCACAATCTCTTTGTAGTCTGGTAAACGTTGCACGTTCGTCAAAGCAAAGCTTGAAAGGCTTTTCGTTTCACTTTTCGACGAATAGACTGAATGTCTAAGGACCAAAAAAGTTCGAAGGGAGTCTTATTGCGTCATCGATTGCTATACTGTCTCGCACTTTATGATCGTCTTCTTTAGCTAGCATATCTAGCTCCGCGTCAGAAGTTCCCACTAGCACACAAATTTCAGTCCGAGCGTCCGCAACTAATGCATTTTCTTGGCCAAATACCAGTCAAATTCGCAGTGAGATCAGGATCAAGCATGGCTTCTAAGGGTAATGTCGTGTATTCCTACGTAGAGTTACAGAAGAAAACGCAGAGCCACACGCACCGAAAGTCCAAAATTAGAAAAATTCAAGTACAATGCAAAAACACTAAAAGGCAAAGAAAAAGCACCAGAGCCATCTCCACACCTCTGTTCGTCCTCTATGTACCTTGCGGCCCGTCCTTCCAGCCGTGAAGCCGTACTGAACAACA